TTTCGATATAGAGAACAGCGTGTTTAGTTTTTGTCCAACATTCATTACTATTTTACCTTGATTTTATGCGATTAACATTAATTTTCTTACACGATCTACACGATGTCAACATTTATTACCGACAAACTTATCTATATTTTTAGCTGTATCACATACTGCAAATGCAAAATTATGAAAATTATGTTTTTCAGAGCCTAAATCTAACAGCAAAACGTTGTGAAACGACAGCCAGTTATTTCAATGGCTTATAATGTACGATATAATAAATTATTTTAGGATTCAAAATATAAAAAAAAATCATTAAGATTGTACAGCATGTTACAATGTTCAATGTTCTGTTCTGTAACATAACACTGTAATCCTGCTTTATTATATAACTGTTGCAAGGTTTCATTCTATTATCTGGAATATTCACATTGTGTCTGCCTCGATACTTGGTAAGTGTTGCCTATATATATTACATAATGTCACACCAGTGTGAATTAATGTTCACTACTCGCCGAGAGTAAAAGCACGATAAAACAGAGAACTTACATTTGCTTTGTAGCATGTGATGTTCAAACCACGAAACCAGTGCTAACATATTATCGCCTGACCATACAACATACACAATAAGCTCTTTGTACTCTGACTTAATATTCAGATCCATCGATGGAATTGAATTTCTGGAAAAGCACTTTTAGATTTGTTAAGTAAAGTGTGGCGTGATTGTAATCTTGGATTCTTAACTAAAAAGAAAAAAAATTGCGGCATTTGTTTCTCTTTAGTGTTCCAACTGATCAGTTTGACATCTTGTCGTATTTAATATCCACGTAAACGTGGAACAGTATATCAATAACAGTTGTTATTATTTCATTCGGTTTTATATTGGTTTATTGAGTTTTAATTTTAATGTATATTCACAGCTGTGTGATACAATGAAGTCTGTGGCTATTAAAACTGTATTGGTTATTGCATTATTGGGATTGTGTATACATTTGCAGAAGTACTACCTAACCTATTCTAGAATCGGTTCAAGACCATCAGATGTCCGAGTATCAGATCTAGAGAAGAGCAGCAAGGGCAATAAGAACAACACGATTGTATTTACAAATAGGAAACAAACAGTTACATGCAAACAAATGAATTTTGTATTTGTTAAAACTTACAAGACTGGTAGCAGCACCGTTGGATCTACTCTCTTTCGCTATGGTCTGAAAAATAACTTGATATCTGCAATTGCACTACAACCGGCTTCTATGATAGTGGAAATAATAAATAATACAGCAGGGGTTAGAAAATACGACTGTGATCCCACATTCCCAGGATATAACTATTTAGTTAGTCATGTCAAGCATTATAATTACAACGTACTCAATACACTGGTCAAACGCGCACAGTTTATAACTTTACTTCGTTCACCATTTAAACACTTGGAATCTTCGTTTTATTATTTTCATGCTGACGTCGCATGCAAACTATTAAAGCATGAAAACCCGTTTGCTGAATTTGTAACTCATTTACAAAATTATACTGACCCTACTAAAATGAAGGCGCAATTGAGAAACAGATTACACAATGGGCAATTGTACGGACTAGGTTGTGACGACGATAACTGCAACGACCAAACATCTGTTGTGAAAAAAAATAATGAAATTGAACAGCAATTTGACTTAGTCATGATTACAGATTATATGGATGAATCGATGGTTCTACTCAAACAGCTCATGTGCTGGAGAGATGATGATGTAGTCTACAAGTCGATGAAAGTTGTCGGTAATAACAGACCACCAATAACTGAACATATGAAAGGAATAATTTCAAAATGGAATAAAGCGGATATGCAGCTATATAATCATTTTAACAGAACTTTTTGGCGCCGAATTAAAAATTACAAAGGTGATTTTGATAGCGACCTTCAATCTTTTCGCACCAAACAAACTGAAAAAACAGAAATGTGTGTTAAAACCAAAAGAAATAACGAAGATTGTAAATGGCTCGAAATGGATGTGACCCAGCTAAGGACCACTGCTTTAAAAATACAAGCTGAAACAATTTGTAAAAAACAGAATAAAAATCAGTAGCTTCATTCCAAATAAATTGCAATACTTAGCCTCCATCTTCTTTCACATATATAAATAAAGTAGGACTGATTTGAATAAACTTTTAAATTCATTTTATAACGTAATCTGACTGGAAATTGTAATTACATGATAATGCATGCGATTAATCGTGTTTTGAAATGTCAGCTGTTATTAACCTGTGGTTACTATACGTAATACACGTGATCGGAACGAACTGTTGTGTAAAATACCGTCTATTCATATAAAGAATCATGATTTTACATTAATAGCTCACACAAATCAAACAGAAAAAAATCGTCAAAATAACTCAAGAACTTTTACAAATTTGCTTGGGTCATTGGTTGCTTATACAACATAATTGATCAAACATAAATAAATACAGGTCAGTAAAGATATGAAAATTATTACACGTTTTTTTGAGGTTTAATTCTTTTTAGCTTTTCCATTGCCAGGGTGGGATTTTTGATGAAAGTATATCACTTCAACCAGGATAATGGTAGAAGGTAACTATACCTGAATGATTAAAATAAATCACAAGAACGCAATAGTTAAAGTTGTTATTACTCTAATAATAAGTTCACTCACAGACCACCAGGTCTCTAGGTCTGTTATGTATGAACAATAAAAACAAATAATAATCTCAACCACAGTTATACAAATGTCTCCCATGACTAGAAGATTACTTCTACAGCGGTATTTAAAAAGATGTCTTATAATTGAGCTCGTACTTATTGTGTTTTGCATTTGTTTTGCATGTGTTTTGCATATTGGGAAAATATGATTACCCAGTTTTGAAACAAGCTCCCATTGTCTCGAGATGAAATATCAACTTTACTGCCGGTTTCTAACATGAACTTAATGAAATGTCAAATATCATATAAGTAGACTATTATTGTGTGGATGTGTGAGTTTAGTTTAAATTAGTGAACCCTTTCTTCTAGACGTTTCCTTGGAATTGCCTCAGCTCTTTCCCCCTCGATTCTGAGCCAGAATACCCTGAGGATTCTCTATTACACTTATATCACTGCTTTTTTATCCATACAGTCTTGACTTGATAATATTATTGATAATAATATTGTAACATACACAAAACCATTTTTTTAAAATATAAGGAACGCGTATGTGATTAAAAGTTTGTTTACGTTGCTCGTTGATTGACTGTTGATGATATATGCAAATGAGTTGCTGGTCTCGGTGCGGTGAAGCAGTGTGTGACTTCTTGTTCTGGCTCCTTGTTTACATACCTCAACTTAACTCAAAAAATACGCACAGTAATGATAAATACACTTTTTTACACTCATCTCGCAACCATGTTGAATACTTTTAGCGTGGCAGATTCCAGTGGTATACTGTGAAATAATTTGATTTTTATTTACTTTCATGTAGGGGGAAGGCCCGAAAAACAAGGACGTGATTTCTTTTGTTCTCTTGGTGCATATATTTCAAGCTTTTTCAGCATTATTGACGAAACTAAAAATGTTTTCACGTATTATTTCTTTAAAGGCATTTTACAACTGAAGTAAACAATTGTATGTGACGATCGCCGTGGCGATACCATCGTCATGCTGTTGTCCTCATCGATAACTAACTTTTCAGTGTCAAAATACACAAACGAAAAATCCTTGGTTAATTGAAAATAAAAAATACCCTTGAAATTACAGCAAAATCGGCAACTATAGGCAGTTTTAAACATCGCGGAAAAATCAAGCACTCTGTGACATAGTGTGAAAGTTTCCATGGCAAACTGAAAAACACAAGCGGAGATGATGACTAATTTGCATAACCATTCTGCTAATGTTCATAATTAATATGGCTGTTTCAGTCCTAAAATTAAACCTATTATTGTTTTGTGAAATGTTTACTTTTACTATTTGTGTATTTTGAGTATGTTCCATTATTCACAAAACGGTACAATATTAAAAGTCTCTAGTGTAATAAAAAGCGCCGAAGTACCCATGAACCTAACACGATATAGGATTGTGTAATTTGAGTGGTTGATGAAAAGAAAATTAATCCTACTTAGATTATAGAGGTGGCTATTTCAGTAGTATGAACATTTCTTTGTTTACATCAAATGTTGTTCAATTAAGTTGTTCACTGTTAATGTTATCATTTAATTTTCCACATGGTGAGACATTATGTAATAATGTTCACAACTTTAGGCGTTCGCGTACCCTTTATTTGGAAGTAAACATGTTTAGCGTTATGTAAGGGGTCAAGAATGGGAAGGAACCAAGATTGCGTGCTGAGAAGTTGAATGTACAGTAGAACCCAGTACCTATCTTACCAATCTAATTATCGATTTACGAAACTGCCGACCTCATCAGTGCTGAAATCGAAACTATATCGACTTATGATTGTGCGTGGACTATTCACCCATACCAGCTACAGATTGAAAACACAACACTCTGGTGTTTAACATTGAGCACATGATTGGAAATCATTCCTAAATGTTACAATCATGTAGGAACAGCAAATCAACGAATGAACTCGTGATCGTATGTATACTGCATTGTACTGGTAAGTTACTATTCATTTTAACTGCAATATGACATTTGATTCCTGACCTCACATGTTGGCCTCTAGTATTCATGTTGTGTACTTGCATTGATATACATATGTGTGAGGTGATAATTGGTGTACTGTTTAGCTACACTGTTATGGGCTAGTAATGTTGTTTATTCGTTTAATGTTAATGTTGAGAACCAGTGGAAATAAAATCTATACTGCTGACCTAATAAATACAAATTTTCGCTTGAATAAATATATTAGTTTTAGTATAATTGCATACACCAGCATAAACGTAAATACATTCAACCACTGATTTTACGAACCAACCCCCATAGCGCCCCCTAAAGGGGTCAAGGCAGCGATGCGCACTAGTAATCTTACACAAATTGATAAAGAGATCCAACAAAGGAAAAATCGTTTTTAATATTTTTTTAACAGATGAATTGACTGGCATTTTGATATAATTTGTGAAGCAAACTGTTCCCGGTGAAGTGTATGTAATTTATCATGTTAAAGACATATAAATTTTAATGTCACGAAAGATTTGGACAAAATTTCATTATACATCATCGAAATATTAAGCTACTTCTTGGCTATACCGAGGTAGTACTTTTCGTTTCGTGGAAGATTTTTTTTAATTTTGTTACAAGAAGACATAAACAATGTTTACAAATATATACAAATTGCCTGGGCTAGATTTTGAAGCTTGAGCTTTAGCGATAAACTACCTACTGTATTGAATATAAATGTATTTGTTGGCAATGGCGAACTAAGGCCAATTTTTATTAGCTTTCGGTTACCGATCACCACCCAAGAGCCCTAAGAATTTAATTATGTACCAGTAAAACCATAGTTAGTTAGTCTGATATTGTACACAGAATGAGTGCTTGAGCCTTCTTGTCGGAATCGCTTCCTCATTTGTAAGTAAATTCCCGGAATAATCAGAATATTACATACATTCTTTGCAATTTATGTGAACCCTGATTAATCTTGGAATACAAAACTGATGTACACTGTAAGGCATATAATGTGAAGGACGACGTAACTTGAGACATTACGCCGGCTTAATTACATTTTTCCAAGAAACAAAATTGTAAAACAATTGCCAAATTAGCATTCACCATAAGATATAATTTGTACTCACTGAATTCCAAAATCCAACATATTTCGTAATTCAACTAACTTCTGTTAAACTCGTAACATAATTGCGAGATAATTTTGAAAAAAACATAGGTAGTCATATTTGTAAATGTGCTTGCAATTTATATGGCATATGAACTTTTCTGCTTACAACGCTTCCGAGGGGGATTTGGATTATAACACGCTCTAAATTCAACTTTAAGCCTATAAACGTTCCATTGTTTTAGTGCCGAGCACCTTTGCAGGTACACCATTTTATTGATATGATTGGTCAATGCATGAACAAAACTGTGATACTCCATATCAATTTGGGCCCTGTTTTACTCCGGGGTCACGTCCAAAGAACTGTAGGAAGTTATGATGAACACTGGACAACGTCGAATCATCATTTTTTAAACACAACAGATTAAGATGCTTCGATTACAATGAGAGGTTTCCAATGCAGATCATTCAACGCCGGAAACGAACACAATGCACTATAGTGCCAGGTGAAGGTAGAATGGGAAGTTTGTTTGAGATCGGCGGATTATTTAAAAGGTTTAAAATTATTCTATGAAAAAAGTGAATTTATTTCCATCAAATAAATTAATATAAAATCCGTTAAAATCTGTCTAACAACAATTTCGAATTACTCTTTATAATACTCATGGTGAAATTTATTGATTCCGTCCGACGACTAAACTATGACAGCTAAATGTTACTTTATATATATTCTGTACCGAATTCTATAAAAGATAAAATAAGTAAATACATAGAAAATCAGCGAGGTATAAAAATGACAAGTGAGCTGTAGACACATTAGTTTATTAAAATCGGTGCGTCACACCTTCTCCTACAGGCAGCACAAGTACCGAAAACCACTCTCTCGACTGGAGATCTGTGTTGAAAAGTAATCCTTTGTTGTTGCGGTGTATGCAAGACGATGAACAACTTATGTTTTTAACATCATTTCACCCATAAACAATTCACCCCTAGACGTGATAATTTTATTTCCATAGTAAAAAGCTGGTTGTAAAAAATCAAAACGAAATAATCACAACCTCAGTGGACTCCAATTTCTATTTTCACCCACAATCCACACCCAGACCATTCATCAAAACGGCTGGCCTGGGGTATACTCTGGCTCATGCCGTCGACTTTCTATTTGTAATGCTGTATGATAAATCAGATTATCACATTATAAAAAATAATTATCACTCTAAAATAACGTAATACTACCCAATTGATTCATGAGTCATTGACCAGGGAGAAAGAATTTGAAATTGGCAATACTAATCGTCGAGCAGTTCCGGGTTGTAACGTTCGGTTGACGAAATGACGATACAACAGTACTGATTGGACCTACATGA